GTGCGGATTAGAGGAGGTGGCCCCCAAGACAGGGCCTGCTGTAAAGAAAAGGCTCGTGGAGACATGGCTCCCCCTGGGCGCATGGCTGAGGCATGTCCACTCCTACATGGGGACGGGGCAGGATGGAGGCTTTGGAAGCTGCCTCCGATTTTAGGAGAGTTCCAGGCTCTGATTCATGGGCCCCAGAGAACTGGTTTGGTTTTGGGGCTCCTAAGGAGGATGCGATGTGCATCAATCACCTTGGTAACTGCACAGGATGCTCTGTCAAAGCCCCCTGGGTTAACATCTCAGCTGGACCAGGCCTCTGGCAGGATGAGGTTGGAGGTGAACCTCAGCCAGTCACGGGCGGTGGGCGGCCTGCACCTGCGGGCGGTAGCTCCAGCCTGTGAGTCCGTAAGTAATGCCCCCCGTGGAGAGAGCAGGGACATTTACTTGAAAGGAGGCCTAGAGGGCAAGTCTCTGAACTGGGTCACAGCTGGAAGGATTAGACGTAATACACATTTTTATTTGGGCTGCAGAAACATTGGAGGCACAAATTACCATGCCTCGTACTTATTTAATTCCAGGCCCAAGTTTTAAACCAAGGGCTAATATCACTAGGGACTGTTACACGTAATAATTAAGTAATTCATTTCTAAATTCCAAATCGACTGTGACGATGCAGAGGATGGCTGCGTCTCCACAGAGAACTGGCTTACGTGCAGCTTTTCAGAAATAACAGGAGCTGCTGTTTCAGAGGGACCGTTAGCAGTTTTGTGGCATGAGCTGCTGTTGCACCGCAGGCCCTGTGGCATCCCACCAGGATCCGTTCTTTCATCCAAATAATGTTTATTGAGCACGTAGCATGGGAAAGGGCTCGCGCTGGACTCCGGGATGTGATTCCTCAGGGAATTTCCAGTCTAGGAAGGGTGCATATCTATGTGTAAAATCCTGTAGAATAAAGAGCTAATATGCAAATGGTCGTCACAGCCTCACGCCATCACGGCCCAGACACTCAACACTGGGGAGAGAGGAATGGGGACCAGCCAGGCACAAATGAGCTTGCAAGAGAGGAGTGGGGGCCAGCCAGGCACAAATGGGCTCACAAGAGGAATGGGGACCAGCCAGGCTGCGGCCCAGAAGAGGGACAAGTCACCCGCCCCGCAGTCCCGAGCACCTGCAGCTGCAGCCCAGGTGAAGCCACCTGCCCACAGTCCCCTGTGGCTGCGGCCAGCCTGGGCGAAGCCAGCACAGGTCCTGGGTGCCTGCAGCAGGCCAGAGGGAAGGAAGCCTGGGTCCCAGGTGCCTGCAACCAGCCGGAGGAGGGACTCTTGGGTCCTGGGTCTGGAGCGAGGCAGAGGCGGTTAGGGGTGATCAGGCCAGCAGCGGAGCAGTTAGGGGTAATCAGGCCAGTAGGGGAGCAGTTAGAGCAGTGGTTCTCAACCTGTGGGTCGTGACCCCTTTGGGGGTTGAACGACCCTTATACAGGGGTCGCCTAAGACCATCGGAAAACACATATATAATTACATATTGTTTCTGTGATTAATCACTATGCTTTAATTATGTTCAATTTGTAACAATGAAATTGGGGGTCACCACAACATGAGGAACTGTATTAAAGGATTGCAGCATTAGGAAGGTTGAGAACCACTGAGTTAGGGGCAATCAAGCAGGCAGGCAGAGGTGGTTAGGGGCGGTCAGGCAGGCAGAGGTAGTTACGGGTGATCAGGCAGGCAGGCAGGTGAGTGGTTAGGAGCCAGCGGATTGTGAGAGGCAGTTGGACATCCCCCAATAGGTCCCAGATTGGAGAGGGTGCAGGCTGGGCTGAGGGACACTGCCCCCCTTCCCTGTGCACGAATTTCGTGCACCAGGCCTCTAATGTATACATATACACATAAAATGTTGTCATAAGTGCTCACTTGAAGTGTAAGTTTAACAGTTCCTACAGCAGAGTACTCACCACCTCTATCTCTTTGGGTTACTATTCTGTCGCAAAGACCTTCCTTGCACCAAAGTAGACCCATGTTCTTGTAGTTTGCACTCATTGGTTGTTG